TAGTGACCGGAGTTGAAGTTCGAGTGGGTTTGGGGGTAGGCTTCGACGTAGTGGTTGCTTTTGGCTTTGGCGTTGGGTTTCGTTTCGATTGCAGCCCTCCCGACTTCCCTTCGGGCAACGGTACGACTGCTCCTTTGGACGTAGTGGTCGCTGTTGGCTTTGGCGTTGCGGCTGGTGTCGAATGCAACACTCCAGACTTCCCTCCGGGCAACGGGATGACTTCTCCTTTGGCCGACTTTAGGTAGCACACACCGGCGAACCAGTTGAACGCATTGCACCCCTTGGTGGCTTTGCAGTCATTGCAACACTGTCCTGGATCCGTTTGGTCGGTGGCAGCAATGTCGTTGCCAACCAAGTCGACATCAACTAGTACGGTGCATGTTTGGGCGAGGGTTTGTACTGCCGCCAGCACCGAAATCGCCACAACGATGCAGGTGCGAGTGGAAAGGACCATGGCGCGTTGGCGATGGTAAGATGAACAATGCAAGACTTGGAGATTTGGACGACCAATTTCCGAATGGGTTCGTTCACAGTCATGTGGTGTCGTTCGTTGATGTTTTGATTATCTTGTGTTTGGTAGTTGCATAGTACGCACGAATGGAGTTGGATTTGAATCCCATGGGGAGCTGTAGCAACCAATATCTTGACGATTTAATTGGGAGAGATGAAACATATCCAAATGTTCTTGTCAGAGTATGGTTGCTGGAGCACTCGCGTAAAAGCCCGTCGTCAGGGCCAGATATTATCAAATCGACTCGAAAGTGGAGCCCTCGGCGAATGCCTTTAAAGAATAGATTAAAGAACCATGTAAGCCAATAAAATCACGTCCTGTCGAATTTCTGCCAATTCAAAGGCTCGATTCGGCCCAGGGAGATGCGGGAACAGGACGCAAACACATCACTATGAAAAATTAAAGGTCCTTGATTCCTTCAAATCATGGTGTACCATTGTCGAGGGAATACGTGCAACTTTATTCAAGTTGTCACGTGCGAGTCAACCAGACCTGAATCTGCCACTTACATGGGCGCGACAGTTACATATTATTATTAGCTTGAACATATTTATGTTGATATTTGTATTATGTATGCGTGTTTTTATTCAACTCCAATATTATTTACGTTTTGCAAAACGATTTATACATCCTGCAGATTACACATGCTGGGAAGGGCATGATGCAGGTCAGCAATTTCTCAATGCATACTTCACAACGGGTCACGGAACTCTCCATTCGTCACAACAACAACCAATACTATTGTCAAGTCGGTTCGTAATTGGAGTCGCCAGTAGAATCGAATAGACTTGGCAAATCGATTTGAGAATGAACTAGCTAATCAAAATCCATTTTAGGGCCCCCCTTTACAAATTTCTGAATGGTTCAGCCAATCAATACGTCCTCTAAAATCCCCCGGTTGCAGATTGAATTCACTGTACTACATGTGAATACAATATATATTGCCAAGTTCATTCAAAAGCGGTTTCACATTTGGACTGAACAGTTCAAATTTGCGTGCGAAGGACAATATCAAGAACATCCTATTGCATGTCGCCTGAATCAACAGTTGTAGAGATCGACAACTTCGAATTTGCCAAATTCGTCGTATTTCAAGAGCAAGCGTATACTAGTATGGTGCATATCATCTATAAACTTCCAACTTTTCACAAAATTTTCTGACTTCTATTTCATATTCATTACTCAAATTTTCAGCAAATTGAGACGTAGAATCGACAGGTCTCAATGTGGTGAAGAAATTCTACACCTCAAATTCAAATTTGGTGATGAATTGGTCCAGAAATAGATATTTAACCTAGCGGTATTTTTTTTTACATGGGCGATTGGATATTTGGCCATAGGGGTGGCCACTGAGATGTATCTTGCTTTTTGTAAACGACTCTTATCCGTATATAATATCCGGAGGCAGGTGGGACCTTTAACCTCCCACTGCTGTGATAAAACGCAAGAAATCGGTATTTACATTTATTGACGTATTTTTGTTTATATTGTTCACACATTAATTGTACGTTAAATAATAAAACCTCCACTCTTCGATTTGGCCAGTTGAAAGGTTTTAGATGACGTGCACCATACATGCGGGTAATACTTCGTCACTGAACAAGAGGTTTCGGGGTGAGAGAGCTGTGTATGCACAGACCATGCTGCATAGACTGAGCTTCTAATTCGCTGTCTTGTAGTACGAGTAGTATTGCTCCAAGTATTACACAGCTCGAGAAAAGCGTCATCAAAGCTCGTCCATTTTTGATATATGCGCATGTCGACATGTCGTCCGAGTACAAAAAAACATGTGAGTCTAGTCGACGTCGTACAGTACTGTAGTTGCGCGGAGTATGCATATGCGCAATAAAACTATTGCATCCGCAAAAGTAATGAAATATCCGGAACTGCTCTGTTTTCAAGGTGAAACGGCGCAAATGTCTAGATGCAAGACCGCAGTGAGCGATAGAAATCAATGCCAGTACAGCAACAGCAGCCAATGTCCCTCTCCAAGAAGTTGGATGACTGCGAAGAAACTCCATTTGCTTTCGCCAACCATGAATGCCTCAATTTTGGCCTTACGTAACTTTGTGTTGTGATGAGTTTTCGTCCAGTTCCCGCATCTCCCAGTCCCTCCGCATTGGGCAAAGGCATATATACTATATATCCTAACCTTTGTAAAGTATAGTCAAATGGATTTGAATTTGAATGCTATTTGGCGAAATGACAAGTCTCCCAGTCCCTCCGCATTGGGCAAAGGCATATAAGGTGATTCATGTATTGTCCATTTTCCCAATTTTGCATGGTTCGTTCAATCGAGCACAAATAGAGCCGAGACATCTGATTGGCCATTATCCACTTCGCCCTTTCCAGTAGAAACTCGAAAACGGATTGTAGCCAATCAGCGACAAGTAATTTCGGATTGTGCAAATAATAGTAACATCAAATTAGAATTGTGCTTTTCACCCAATTTACCCATTGTTTTGTCGCACTAATCAATGGATGACAAAATTAAAACCACACGTTAAACAACGCAAATCGAGAGTCTGGCACATGAGCTAAATAAAGACAGGTCGTTATTTACTGGACCATCTCACTCGCAAAGTGGACGAGACCAACATGCAGCGCGATCGATTGAACGTCGCGCTCCCATCGAGTTGAATCTTGTTACCCTACGTCGTGAGAGTCCAAGTATGAGGCAATCACGGCGAGTGCCGTAATTTCAGGATGAGTTTTTATTAAAGCATGGTTTTGACCTGGATTAGCCAAAAAAGGTGAAAAGCACAATACTTTGAAGTATAACACGTTACGGCAGCAACCCAAGCAGATGAACTTTGAAATAATTCTGCACGCACCTCTACATACATACGATAGATAAATATTCCGACAAAATATTGAATCCGACACCCATGCCGACAACGATTGCATTGGCTAATATTGAAAAAGTCGTTACATTTGATTGGTTCCTAAGGATGCGCTGATAGGTGAATTCGTGGATTTACTGTTAGGGCTGACACGTTCGTTTTAAATAGTTGCGTTCAATACAAACATGAAGTACTAGTATTATTTTATCTGGATATTGCATGTACTCTGCTCTGGCTGGCAAATTGAAAAGTGAGCACGCACCGCAAAGTAATACCTCTCAAACTTAATACAGTCACTTTTGAGGAGATTATGTATCCGGATATAGTTTTGGTTGGTTTCCCATACTCTATAATAGCCCGATGTCCACCCATCGCTACGTCATGTCCGTCGAGTTCCTGTCCACGAAGTGTCTGCCCCGATGCGTGTCTGCCAAATGCTTGACCCATAACCGCCCCGTCTCCATCTCTGCGTCATGTCTACCCCATTCCCGTGTCCAATGTCGTGCCGATACCATGTTCGAGTGGTGTCCACGAGGTGCCTGACCCATGACCACCTCAGGAAGGCTCCGTTACCACGATGTGTCGAAACCATGTCTTCCCCGTGTCCGACTAGTGCCCACAATGTGTCTGCACCGTGACATCGCCATGTACGCCCGGTGTCCTGGTAGTGCCTGTCCAGTGACTACGCCATGTCCAATCCATTCGTGCTCAGTGCCTACGCCATATCCGCATAATGTCCACGATTCTCATGCCTTGTGGCCGTCCTGTGTCCATCTCATGTCTACGCCGCGTCCGCCATGTGTCTACCCCAATCCAACGATGTGGTCTTCCTGTACACCCCACGACTACCTCATGGCCGGTCGACGTGCACATGACTGACCCGTAACAATCTAGAGGTAAGCCTTACGGCCACACTTGGCGATGTCAGCCTCCTGCCCATACCGTGTCTTTGTATTTGTGTTCATGATGAGTTATGATGTTGTATGAGTGATATGTTTTTGTTTGCCCGATTTGACCTTCCGGCGATGTAGCTCAGGGAGAGCACTAGGGGCAACACTAGAGATGCTGGTTCAACAACAGTCATTGTTATGTGTTATATGTTGTCGACTACTAAGATGGTGGCTACATGTTGAATTGGAGTCGGGTCTTTGATTCCACCTTGTGCGACTTTTGCATTAACCAACCCAATGATTGTATTGAGTCCCGATGCGGTGTTGCTCGCGCAGGATGCGCAGTACCGACCCACTGCTGCGAACATTTGGCACAATGTCGGGCACGAAGCTTAAGACGCGTTGGTCGACGAACGATCCCAAGCGCAAGACATCGTCGCGATAGGACGGTGCATTAGCATCCAACTCAAGGCCATTGTGGAGGAACAGCTTCATGAAGCCAACGACCAACTTCGCCTCGGATTTCTACTTGTGGTCTGCGCCAACCTGCCATATGGGGGGGTCTCGAGCGTACCACTCGAACCACAAGTCTGCCAAGGACGTGGCGACTGCCTTGTGATGTTTCGTTGGGACAGTGGCTTTGGCTTCGTGCGATAGCATGGCGATGGGAGGTGTTGGAGCCGCACCAATACCGACGTGTGCTTTAACGGTTGCGACACGTAGGCTAAATGCCTTGTTCATGGCAACCAGTTCGTGGATCACGGCTTGTTGCTGCGCAATGGTGTCGTTCGCACGTGTACCTAGCTCTTGGTGCGGTGTTTCGACAATGGCTTCGTGTGGCCGCTCAATGGATGCCGCCCACGCAAAATGATTTCCAACGGTGAAACCAGCAGCGTTTGCCGCTTGCGCAAGCCTCGCCACAGCAGGACCATGTGGACACGTTTGCATCAAGAAAGGTAAGTGCCACAACAACGTCGCCATTAATATGTCTAGCACCGCCGGCTTGATCAACAAATTGGGGTTTGCCAGCCCAACACAGTTTTGGAAGGCCACAGCTTGGACACGAACGACAGCAAATCAGGATGCCGGATCGAGTGGTGAAAGGTCAGGTACGGCAACATTGCCGGTGGGAGTCCAGCCGCTCAATATCTTTGCAATCTTTTGATCTTCTGCTGACGTGTTGAAAATGTACGCGAAAGCCTTGTTTGTCGATGATAGGTTCCACGATCAAAGATCCATTGCGCACTCAAGCAGCTGTGACCATTGGCATGCTGGGCATCTCCGCGTCGAAAGTTGTGTGACGTCAGTTCGTGCGTTAGCCCCGACGGTACGGCAATCCTCTCTAACAGTCGATTCACGTAGGCATGAACACCCGGATCGGCCGCGGCAGCAGCAGGGTAGGTGTTTGCAAAGGAAGCGCGGAAGAAGAAAGGAAAGTTGTCGACAGAAGAACCCACGACGACAGCGGTGCGCCAATCACGCCGTCTGGCGGGAGATGCCCCGGAGTTTGGACTCCTGGACAGCGAACACCTACTACGAAAGAAGCCTCTGGCCACGGGTCTGGTCCCGTTGGAAGACGATGACGGCGCACGAGTATCGACTCCGGGACGAAAGCGGGAAGCTGACGGGTCACCAGACGTGTCGCTCCCGACAGACCGTCCAGAGACGCGGTCACCGTTGAAGACACCGGCGCTGGCATCGGCGGCAGACCAGGCCTTAGTGCCTACGACACCCCTGGCCAGAACCGGTACCGACGGTCCGACCCTGACCCCGGCCAGAACTGACACTGACGGTCGTGAGTCCGACGCCGAAACCTTAGAGCGCTATTCGATACCTGTTCCAGCTCCCGGATACACCTCCCTAGTCTAAGAGGGGTACGGGTGTATGGTATCAGGAACGCCTACCGGGACGCCTACCGGGACGCCTACCTGGAACGGTCTCGGAGTACCAGGAAATACCATCATAGCCACGATCACGGTGGCCACCGGAGGGATACGGGACATCCAGAAGGCCTATGAAGAATTCCCTCGGGGCATTGAAGAGCAACAACGAACGGCGTCCCTACTGTTTTTCCAACAAGCCAACGAGGACCCGGCTTGTTTACTGGGTGTTCAGGAATGCCAGTTGGTAGAGATGGCCGAAGGATTGCTACGGGCCGCGGAAATCCATGAAAGTCGTCGTCAGGATGAGTTCCAAAAGGCCCTGACCTACCTCCGGGACTGCTATACTCGGGAGCTGGACGTTGCCCGGACTCAGGTAACCAACGAAGCTAATGATGCTCTGCTCCGGGAAGCGGAAAAGAATGCTCTCTCCTGAATTGACCGGACCCGGGAACTTAACGACAACTGGCTCTGAAATGGGACCAACTTGAAGCCCTCCTGATACGGGACAAGAATTCCAAACTCCTGGTGGCCCGCCGTCTGCATGAAGAAGTACTGTCCCGGGTCCAGAAGGATGTGGAACGGGTTCTCGAAGTGGGCCGCCGGGAGGACCATCTGCGTCACGACGGCCCCATGTCCAGTCTCCGGGAAGAACTCTGGACCCTCAAGCGGAACCATCAAGATGAAATCTATCTAGTACGGGAAGCTGCCCGTGACGAGGACAACTCGAGGGGGGTCTACTCCAGTCGCAGTACGACCGGGACCTGACTTCAGCCCAGGACGAGGCCCAGTCGAAGGCTTCGGAACTCGAGTCGGTACAGGAGGCCCTCCAAGCCGCCCTCCGGGACCTCTCTTTCCGGGAGTCTGCGAACGCCGTCTTTGGAAATTGTCCGATCCTGGAATAGGAAAAGCAGGACCTCCGCGAAGCCCTACGGGAACGGGAACGGAGTCTGAAGGAGGAAGTACAGCGACGCCAAGGGATGGAACGAGTCTGGGAAGAAGAGCATCGACGTCTCCTGGAGAGCGAAGAGACGGCCCGGGAACTCCAGGAGTCTATCCTGACCGAGCAGAATCGGTACAAACAGACCCAGCTTTCGGAACAAGGACGCCGAACAGTTGGTCCAGGAACAGTTCGTGGCACTTTCTCAAGAACGCACTCAGTCCGGAGAATACCCCCCGCTCTGGGTATGGGATCAGCTGGAACGGGAGAGGCACGCCAACGAAGAGGTGCTGCGACAAGTAGAGGAAGCGCGCACCTGTTTGGAAACGAAGAAATTGCAGTTGAGGGATCAAGAAGCTACCCTGTTCAGGGAACGGTCGGTCCAGGACCTCACCCTGAGCCAGGCGTATGCGGAGTTGGAACGCCAGCGGGCCCAGCTACAAGCGGAACAAAGAGCTGTGGAACTCCAACAAAGGACACCCCAGAAGACGTGCATTGCCCCGTACGCGACATATGGGATCCCTACTCTGTCCCGGATGGGGTCCCCGTCTAAAGGAATCGGGATCACGCATACTACGTTTACTACGGCGCCCTTGCTCCTGGCCACCCGCTCAAACACGTCTACGCCTCACCGAGGCTTCGACCAAATCTGTTTTATGCAGCAGACTGAGGTGCTGACAGAATCAGCTTCGCTCCGGATGCCACCGACGTTTACGGTCCGGGACACCACGTCGCTACCGTTTGTGCCGACGGCGGCTCCCATGTCGCGACCCAACCGCGATGCCGACTCGTATCCGTCCTCAGGGGCCCATGGCCAGCCGCACGGAGTAGAGTACACGCAGCCATCCCCAGGTAAAGCCGGGTCGGGGTTGCCCCTCCGGCCTCCTATAGTCCGGAACCCGGTGGTGGAGGGTTGGGTGGTTACTCAGGTCGAACGAATCCTCCGGCACCTCCTGGAAGTGGCTCGAATGGGGGTGATTATGCTGGACCCTTCGGGGACCGAGGTGACCCTCCGGGACCTCCTGGTGGTGGAGGATCCGGCGAGTACTACGGTGGTCCCCCTGGCCCTCCGGGAGGCGCACCCGGTGGAGACGGCACTGGTGCCGGACAGCCCAACTCACCCCTGGAGCCCCGTTCGCCTTCACGTCAGGCCATGTCCGATGCTCGGAAGTACGCGCCCCAAGTTCGATAGTGTGACCGGACCATCCCTTTGAAACATTTTCTGGCGAAGTTCGATACCGTCCAGAAGGAGTACGGGCTCAACGATACCCAGGTCGTTCGAATCTTCGATGACCGCCTGACATCCGGTGGGGTACTTTCCGTCCAGAACTGGTGGGCTCGACGGTGCCGTGACAGCGAGCCCGTCTCCTGGGTGGAGGCTCGGGAGGCTTTCCGGAAGGAGTGCATGCAGAAGACACTGAGTCGAAAGATGGCCGAGATTACTGACAACTCCCACCGGAAGTCTACGGAAACCGTCCCGGAGTATGCGTGGCGGATCGCGGACGCCTCCCGGGAGGCTGGGTTGCAGGCCAATAGGGCCGTGGTTATGATGATCAATGGATGTAGCGATGCAGAAGTGGCCGCGTGTCTCCGGGGAGCCTCTGTTCGACCTGAGACTATCGAAATCAGCCTGGACTACCTAATTGAGCGAGATGTGGACATTGACAGACGAACGGAAGGTTCCCGATCGGTCCCCCGGACGACACCGGTTGCTCCGTCGACACCGACTAGACCTGCTCGGAACACGTCCCGGACTCAGTCCTCTTCGACGCCGAACGGAAATCTCCAGGAGCTCCAGGCCTCCATCTCACGACTTCAACGGGAAATGACGAGCTTGGTTGCCTCTAACAACGACCAGTTTTCCGACATCCAAGATATCGTCGCCATGATCTCTACGGACAACCCGGCAGGAAACAGCCCGGTACAGCCCCGTATCTGCATGGATCCCGACGACGAAACTAAGTCGGGTGAGGTCATTTGCGTAATGTGTACCATGCGGGGCCACTCTCGTGAACAGTGTCCTCGGTTGTCGTGGTTCTGTACTATGTGCCGCTCCAAAGGTCTCGAACTATCGGAGTGCAGCCTGTCCCTGGACAACGGAGGTCGGGGTCCGGGACAAACCCGAACGGGACCCGGAGGACGAGGAGGAAATTCAACCTGTTACACCTGTGGGAAGATGGGCCATTTGAGCTGGGGTTGTCCGGTGAATGCGTCCAAGCAGTGCTCTATGCTGGCCCACGTCGTGGCTGCCCTGCAATCCTGGTATATGTTGGACAACAAGCAATCCACGGAAGACAGCCCCGACTCCGATAAACAATGAGGACTCGGCGTTCTGAACCAAGCCGCCGGATGCGGCGTGGCACTGACCGCCACAATGCAAATTACCTCCGAAGATGATAACAAAGTACACGTAGCCCTGGGATATCCTCGCCCTCTCTGGACGATGAGGAAGGATCCCAGGACTCATACAAAATGGAAGATACCTCCCCCGGGGTGGTACGGGACTCGGCGACAATCGAACCCCGGACTGCTCCGGGGCTGGACGACGATACGAAGAACGGCATGGCAAGACGACTCCCGCAAACGAAGGGAGTCCCGGGCTCTGCGCACAAGGACATGCAACAAGAGGGCGGGATACAGGAGCGCCCTGAAGACAGGTTACAGACAGAAGCCAGGATGCTACCTCCCTCTGACAAGAGGCACGGGCCGGGTGCGCAACCGCGCCCAGTACCGCTCCCGGAAGACCATGAGCACAGAAGAAGGCTGAACGATTGGAGCTCCGGGAGCGAAAGCGACATTACGGCAACAGACTGACGAAGGAAGAGGGTGCGACGAGGCGCTTGGAAGAGACAAGACAATTGGAGAGACCTCCGGGACCACGGGTGTATACACAGGACCCAGCACCGGGGATGACTCGCGTCGACAAACGGACGGGAGCGAAGACAAGGAAGAGAATGCATTGTATGCAGAACCCTCAAAAGAAAAAAGTTCGTGTCGACAAACTGAACCGAACACCCGCGAGGCTAGTGCGTTGCCTAACGGAGATTCTCTGGCACATCGGGGTGCTGCCTCCGTCCTGTCCCGGACCCTGCCTCGGGTCCGGGGCCCATTGACCACCTTCCCGGAAGTGACGAGTGACGCTGAGGAGCTAGGAGCACCTTCTCGAGACTCAACGAACCCGGTGCTAGGTAGTCCAGACCCGGTTATGGCGTGTTCGGGGGCCGGGACTGTGAGTGCTATAACCATCGGGAGCACCCGGGCTGGGTATTCGAATATGGAAGACCTCCGTCCGGACTCGGATATCACTCCGGTATCCACTGCGGCCCAGATTGACGCTATCTCCCGGGGCGATATGGCCGAACTTCGCGACTCTCGACATGTGAAGAACGGCACTACTGGATCTGGCTCGTCGGGGCGGCGGGTGCGATCCAGCCAGCACCGGATAAGCGTGTCGTGTGGGGAGGTAAGTTGTCAGTGGAAGCTTTTTCCATTTCGTTGGGCGGCGTCGGGACTCCCTGGGTCGTGTCGAAATTTGCCTTATGTAGTTACGGCATGCTACGATCCTCCTGGCCCTCGCCGGAGCTCGGACTTCAGCGGCGGAGAATGTCGCGGGGAATATTCGGACGTTCCGCGACCAGCCGTGGTGAGGCTCGCTGTTGTTAGTCCCTGGGGTCTGAACCCAAGACGACCACGGACAAGACTCTGAGCTATATTATAGGACTCCCGGACCAGACTTCGGACGTCCATACTCTTTTTTTTAAGCTAAACCAACTAACTCGACTTTACATTTTGCCCTGACCTACGCGTTTGGTGTTCTACACGCTTGCCTACGCCGCATCTACCCATTCGATTTGTCGTGAAACCCTGCGACACACCTCCATGAATCAATAAGATTATGTATTTATAGAGTGATTTTCTCATAATCCTACCAATTTCCAAGTCAAAACAAATGGGACTCTTTTCATGGACTAGAGTAGTACTTCGAAGTAAGACGGATTGGTAATTTAGGCTGTTGTGTGAAAACAGGACAAATTTCTGAATAGAGCTCTTTCGACATTGATTTGAGCTAGAGTTCCAGTTTGGCCCACCAAAATTAAGCAATTTGATTGGGCAGCGCTTATTTGGCGAAAATCAAACTCGATTGGTCTTGAGACAACTACGGTCGGATCTCAAGGACCCATCGAGTTTCGAGTTTGTAATTGATTGGATAAAATTAGTGCGTTACGTGTTGAGCATTTGTCCATGCATCTCGGAAAGCGTGGCACTCCTTGCACCCCAGCTAAAGCTCGAGCAAACTATTGCGCTCGTGGCGACCCTCGTTTATCGCGCCAATGGCTGGCGGTGGGTCCTCCGTCGTCTGCTGCAAGTGTGCGTCAACGAACAGTTACTTCGCCTGCGACGTCCACCAGGTATCCCAACATACACCAACCAGTTCAACACAACGCTGAACATCCCCACAGCGATAGAACTCTACCGCTTCACGATTGAGCAACTTGCCCTTCTCACTGCAAAGGTCCGACTTCCCGATCCCTTAATCACACCTGCAGGATATAACGTGCGAGGGCTGGAAACCCTGGTCATGTTGTCTTGCCGCTTTGCAGAGCCGTCGAAGCTACGCACGATTGCCAACGAGTTCGGGCGTTAACAACCTGCCGTTTATCGCATTGTGCTGTGTGTTCCACGCAAGATTTACACGGCTCACGCTGACTTGCTGTACGTGAACGACGGCCTTATCCGTTCACGCATGGAACGGTATTGTCAGGTTGTCAAGTCGAAGGGCGCATCCCTCCAAAACTGTTGGGCGTTTATTGATGGTAATCAAATCTATATATACACTAATTCAATACTTACAATTATGTTTGAGTTACAGTTATTAAAATCACTGATGGTAATCGTTATTGTAATCTTAACGATATGTTATTGTAATCTTAACGATATATATACGTAATTTGTTATTCATAAATTATTCGCAGTATAATTTTGTATAATATTTATTGTTAGGAACCAAGCAATTTGTCGCTAGGCCAACTCCTCGGTTTAACGTACACGCCCCGAAAGAAAATCTCCAGCGGGCGGTGTATAATGGGCACCCGCGATGACACTGACTTAATTGGCAATGTGTCACAAGTCTAGATGGCATCATTGTATGTGTTTACACGACAGTACAGTTCTCAGTTCCGCGCGGATGGGACAGGACTATACGACGGACGTGTTGTGTACGGAGACCCCGCCTACGGATGCAATCAATTCCTTATTTGTCCATTTCCGCTCAATGGGACCCATAAACGACAACGTCGGTTCAACTCGCAAATGAGCAAGGTGCGGGAAGCCGTCGAGTGGAATTTTGGTAGGCTCAAGATCCTCTGGCCGTTCGTCGTTGACTCCAAGAAGATGCAGGTGGGCAGAACGCTAGTTGGGAAGCTGTTCTACGTCTCGGCACTTCTCACCAACTGCCATTGTTGCATGCAACCTATGGGCAACCAAATTTCCATGTACTTCGAACTCGACCCGCCGAACATTGATGAATACCTTGGACTAGTTTAATACAATTAATGCATGATAGTAACATGATTGTCGAAGCTATATTGAATATATAAATTGCTCAATTATACGTGGATATATTGTCACACGATTTTGAATTAAGGCTTATGCATTCTGCTAACTAAAGCTACCAAAAATTCCTGCGTTTGTTTGTCGAGGGCGAGATCACGTTCATGCTGTTTACGGTCACGCTCATCCTCTCGCCCTGCACGTTTTTCTTCAAGCATATCTTCTTGTTCGAGCCGGTCTTTGAGAAATGATGTCACCATTTTGAGACTTGGGTCTTCACCCGTGATATTGTCGACTGCGGTCTTAATGTGCTGCAAAAAGTCAACCACTCGGCGGGCCCGATTTACTTCCATCGCTGGCACTCCATCGCCAATTTTCGCATCATAACAACAGATGACTCGATGCCGTCCTTCTTCGCCGCAAGAGGTGATGCTTAGGCGTCCTTTTTTTCTACGAAGTCGTTGACTTGTGACAAAATATCCCCCAACAGTTGCTCGCATTCGTTGAATTCCTCGTCCGTTCCGCTTCGGCGCATCGCGGAAAATGAACGCTCTTTGTTTGCCTTTGCCAGCTTGTTGAAACGAGTCTTGCAGCCTTGCCCGTCTTTGTCCACTTTGAACCGTCGGTTGTCCTTGAGGTCGCTTGCTATGTTCGCTCACGTCTTCATGAGCGTCCAGGACGAGGCTGACCAGGGCTTGGCGTCGTTGACTGCGATCAGGAGAGTGATGTCGTCGCTGCACCCAAACGACTTTCGCGTCGTACCGGCGTATGCTCCAGGCTCCTCGTAAAGGGAGTCCAATGAATCGTCCGCTGTTTGAGCTGGGTTGTCTAAAATTAGAGCATATAAATGCTAAGTGAGGTCGGAATATTGATCATATTCACATTTATTGGACACTTTACGAACTATCCACGAACTCCTCTATGATTTAATATTCAATATACTCAATACAATTTCATGAGTTTTGCCCAATGTGGAGTCAGAATTCAACACTGCACTCGACCGGCGATGGATCGACGTGGCCGATCGCCGCACCCCACGCTCAGCTACCCCTGCAATCCCATCCCATCCTGCTTCGGTGATGACGAACGGCACGGACTGAAGTCTCCCACGTTTCTGTGATCACACGCGAGCGAGATTACAGGCTGTACCAGCTCGTCGAGCGCCACATTGACCACAGCGACACGGCCCGTCACGGTAAGTTGCTCAAACACGACTTCAAACTTGATAACGACCTTTCAGTGTATACGATCGACCTTAGGAGAGCACGATTTAACAAGTAGCGAACACAAATGATCGTCGAACACGGGGGAATGGTGACACGAGCTCTCGTATTTCCACGCAACCACGTCAAGTGAATGCTGCAAAACGCCACCCGCACATTCTCGTACGTTTTGACTCTCATTTACACCTTGGTAATTACTTATTTCAGTGTACAGAATTGTAAATGACTGGCAACGACAATATCGGCGACGAACAAGACGAATTTTGTACTTGGAGGTCGCAGTCTTGGGCAGCAATAATGTTTGAACATGATTATTGATATTATTGTAAAGTAATCTGGAATTCTTGATCAAAACGTAAGGTACGTACGACATTTTGCTTACGCGGCGTTTGGTAAACTTGGCATTCCCCCCTGCAGCAACAATTGCAGACCAAATCTCGCGCATTCCACTTTGGTAAATATCGTTTTTCTGTGGTGCTGTCATATCATCCATGGATCCAACGCTGGTCTTGCTGGTGGATAACAGTAGGTGAATAATTAATTACCTTTGCTTTGGAAAAGTTGACCTTGTCAGCGCCACGATTAAAATCCGTTCGGCGCAACAACCGTAGCGCAGGGACACGATTGTCGGGGTCACCAAGCCACCATGCCGTCTACAAATCAAACATTTTGCCCGTGGGGCAAACTGGGCTCGCTGAATAGACAAGGGGCAGTAGTGGGACCGAGAACAGTGGTGGCGCCGAGGGGAATGGCGGCACTGAACACGGGTGAGTGGACAATCCCACAGTGGCTGAATCAGGGGACGGTGGTGGTGGGATGAATTTGATATCCGCCAATAGCTGACACCGTAGATTTGCGAACGAGTCGTTCATCATGGATAACGTGACCGGGGCTGAACTTGACTGGTGCTGACTGCTGAGTTTCATGGCCACATCGTGAGGAATTAATTCAAGTCGACCCATGACGTTAAACTTGTTTTCGAGTTGGTTTAGCTGATCAACCACGACGACGATGGGCGGCACACCAGTAGCTACCGTTCCAATTGTTGAATTTGACACCATGCCACTGTGTACCACTTGCGACAAGTGGTTCAATTTACCCGAACGCCACGCCGTCGACATAAACTGAGGATGCCCCGGACTAAACGTCACTTTTAACTAGCCAGCAGATAAGGTAACACGTAGCGAAAACAGGCTGGGTACTCAGTTGCGTAGCCTGGCAAGTAAGTCTCCCACTCCTCCAACGAAAGTGCTGCGCTTCGTGCGAAATGAGGAGGTAGCGCGCCAAAAGCACTCGAACTTAATGGGAGACCTGTTAACTTAAATGATGAAAAATTATACTTAATTGGAATACAATATTTGAACCTGTAGCCGACGAATTAATCACCCCCTGACCCCTCAAAGATGTAGCGCCCTTGAACGCTGCCAAGACTTCATCCAGCGCGCAGCCAAATGGATACAGCCTGTGCCCCCCCCCCGTCGTGTTCGACCGCGATGTTGGCACGCCTTTTCGGAATGAGTGTGTGCCAATGTCAGAAATTGACATGCCCATGAGAACGATCTCCGCTTCATTCGAAGCACACACTTTGAGCAACCACTTCGAAATTCGGGCCTTGGCGTTCACGCCAAAGAGCAACGTTGAACTCTCCTTGCTTGGAAGCCCTCGCGTGAATACAATAATTGCTAGGCTAATCAAAAAATATATTCGTTATAAATTCAAAATCGAAATTCTATCAACATCAGTATTAGACAAATCCATGGGCACGTCGGATTGGCATAAATGTGCTTTGGAAACAGCCCCGCACCTTCTTGGTCACTTTTCGTTCGACCAAATTTTACCACAAGGGCATCGCCGAACCAAACATCCGTACACACTCGATCAGTAAGCAACTTCAACAATTACAGTCTACCATGCCATATGCCGTTGTCGATATGAATTGACGCAGTGGACACCGAACGCGCCATCAAATTTCAACACAACACGTGGAAAGTGTGCGCGTTGATTGCAAGCGCGTAGTCTGACCTTGCAGCCAACGCTGCTCGAGCCAAACATGAATAACCTAATTAAACTAATTAAATATAACACAAACAACATCATTACTACCATCAATTGTCATGGGTAGTTTCCCCTCTCCTATTGGCATTTCACCGTCGTCATTGAGCTGGGCAATGTGGCGCTTGTATGCATTTGCGAAATCTACATAAATACAAATATGCATTGTACAAGTACAAGGTTAAACACTCGCATCATACCTTTGAGCCTAGCCTCCAGGTCGTCATGCATCTTGAGGTTGGCCTCCTTGTAAATGTACTTTAATGCACTTTTACACGTCCCAATGGTCGAAAAAGAGTTAAATCGTTTGAGCACTAGCTCGGATCCTGTAGCATCGCGCTTGATTGATGTGTAGTCCAAGTATGTCTGGCAGACAGTGGTTGACAGAGGCAATTGAATGACGGAGTCGACTACGAACTCCGGGTGCTCGCAGAGAAGCCATCGCTTGAAGCGTTCTTGTATAGACGTGTACTGGGCCCTTGTGTCGTGAACGAGGCGTAAGGCGACAACACGATCTCCTGCCACTGCTTCGGACGCATCCTCATTATGCTTGCGCTTCCTCCTGCCCATCGTTCAAGTCGAAAATGGATGATTAATTCATGCGGATAAAAGAGTTCGTAAAAGGGAGATATTTTTTGAATACTTGTCAAGTATACAAAGAACAAGGTTATATCCGTGATACTTCTTTGATAGTGACCAATCACGAACATTCGTTCACGAACTCTTTCTGTTCGTGATTTCTATGTATATCCGGACAAAAGAGTTCGTGAAACGGCTCAAACCGTTTGTAAAAGGGTACTACTCAACGTCAGCACCACCAATAACTATGAATGCAATGTGTTCCATATATTTCGGTGGAGGGGGAAAATGGCTTACACATGATTATGTGCGTATAACAATATCAGATTGGTACTTTGAAGAATAACACGTTACTGCGCAATCCAAGCGCGGAGGGCGAAAATGGCTCATGATATGGTGCATTTCACCCAAACTAGGACTTGTCATTTCGCCGAATAGCATTCAAATTCGAATCCATTTCACTATACTTTACAAAGATTAGGATGTAGATGCTTTTACCCAATACGGAGGGACTGGGCGGAATCAAGCGTTTGAATTGGTAGAAATTGGACTCGACGTGATTTGATTGGTTTAGGTGGTTCTTTACTATATTCTCTAAAGACATTCGCCGAGGGCTACCTCCAGTTTCGAGTCGATTTGATACAGTCTGACCAAAAACTATAGACGCACCCCGTTTTCTTCGAGTTCGGGACGAAAATATGCCTTGATGGTTGTATTTTGACTATCAGCACGATATCATGGCTATTTGCAATTCCATGTCCGCATTGGCAACTATTCTTAAGCAATGTTGAAAAGTCAAAATTTCAAAAATAGGACCAAAAACTGTAGACGCATTTACACTTGCACAACTATTTATTAATGCAATTACCACGACGCAGGATTTCTTGAGCCATTCTTGTTGGCATACCTTCAACTAAACTTGCAAGGTACTCCTGGTCGATTTCTTCCCACGATTTCAAGATTTGAGTCTTCAAATCGGAACGACTTTCGAACTGACGGTCGTTAGAGTACACTTTTCTAGCCAACACCCACCAAACATTCTCAATTGGGCTCAAGTCGGGGCTTTTAGCAGGCCAGGGCATAATTGACCATGGCTGGGTCTCCAGCCACGCCATTGTGGAGTGAGATCGATGGACACTGGCGTTGTTTTGTTGATAAATTGCATAGCCATTTGGCGCCTTGAGGCAATGGTCACTCACGCATTGCAGGCAGAAGGTGGGTCTCCAACGTCTCCTGGTACTTTGTGGAGTATTGTCTGCCTTCTAGGAAAGCCAACTTGGACTTGTAACTGATGCCGCCCCAAATCATCACCGAGCCTCCTCCGGAGACTCGTTTAGAGTAGGTCTCATCCTCATGCCTCAGATCGTGCCAATAGTACTGGCAACCGTCCGGCCCGTCCAAGTTGAACTTATTTTCGTCCGTGAAGAGGGTTGTCTTCATTTCGAGGTCTTGGATGAGGCATAGCGCGGCAAAATCAACTCGGTCTTTCTTGTGCTTTGAGGTTAGTCGCCGACCAGATCGGAGTTTGATTTACTTCGCGAATTTCGATGACTTTAATACGTTGAGTACAGTAGAACGTTTTACTTTACTATCCAGACGTGATGAAATTTGCCGGGCAGACATCCCCTTCCTTGTGGCAAGCCGAAAGATTCGCCGAATCTCACGGCAAGTGAGTTCTGGACGTCGTCCTGTCGTTTGGGTCGGCTAGGGTGCTGCAACTTGACAACAAACGTTCGCACGAGCTTGCCGCTTCGCCCAATCGCATTGGCTATCCAACGCAACGACTTGTTGAGCTCCAAAACCGCGGTTATTTGGCCTTTTTCCTTGTCGGTGATGTTTGTGCCGCGTGGCATATCAAAACTGGCATTATCGACACCACAGATGTGTGTGTATGCGGTGGAGATGCGCGTAAGCATGTCGATTACTCTAAACGAACACTGATTGGCCAAATATCGACGTAAAGGACCCGAACTAAATAGTACGTCTATAGTTTTGAGCCAACAAAAAAGCTCGAGATTGGACTTTTTGACTGTACGTGACATACTTTTCGGAGGTGTCATAAAACACGCTTTTCATGACTAAATCGTATAACATGAACCATCCAAGGCATGTTTTCGTCCTGAACTCATCCCGTTGCCCGGAGGGAAGGCTGAAGTGTTGCAATGGACACCAGCTCTAACGCCAAAGCCAACAGCGACCACTACGTCCAAAGGAGCAGTCGTACCGTTGCCCGAAGGGAAGTCGGGAGGGCTGCAATCGAAACGAAACCCAACACCAAAGCCAAAAGCGACCACTACGTCCAAGCCTACCCCCTGTGTTGTTTCCCACGCCAGTGCCAACACAAACAACCAAATGGGGGAGTGCCGACTCCATGCAAACCGTACACTTGATTGACTTGATGTTACCACGGCGTTGCAGAACCAATAGTGAGACTCCGGCAGTTGGCTGGGACAGGTGTTCTGTTTTCTACGTCCTAGTACTACTAGTAATACTATGCCTTTTCGTGTCGGTTCGCCAAGGGTCGGCACCCGTTGGCCTGGGTTGAGAACCACCTGTGTCATGGCGAGACTTGGATTAAGCTGCCCACCACAACACCCCCCCCAAGCCATGTCCCGCAGGACACACTTTGGCTTCGCTAATTCTTCGCGCTCGCTCGCTTCATCGCCTTGCGCAGCGCATCGCCTTCACCTGCTTTCTTCACGCCTTCAATGTAGTTCTTCACGGTCGGGCATTCATGCATGAGTTTCTGCAGTGGTTCCCATGAGGACTCGATGTCTTCAAAACCTTCCCAAAGCAATTCCAGCATGAAGTCTTTCACATCCTCGACAAACTTGTGTCCCGCGATGGACTTGACCTTCAGCA